AATGAATGGTTAAGTCAATGCAACAACTTCACCCTCCATCAATGTTCGCTTCCACTTCAATGCGATTCTGCAGGACGCTGAGTAGACAACTTCCACGTTCGATCTTCTTGAAACCTGGGCATTTTGCGTAATTTTTAATACTGCTCTGCCGTACAGATTTATTACGGCCAAACCCCTTTACTGGTGAAAGTTTCGACGACAGAATCGTCGCCTTCAGGACCTGAAAATAGTTCGAAGCTCCTGATCTGTGACTTACCCGACCAAGCGCCCAAACGCGCTAGGCTAGTTGTGTGGTCACTAGGGTGGTGAGGTTGCTCGCCCAAAATCTATGAAATATACCACGCGAATTGTGACGGATATTGGGTCGGATATTGAGTATTGAGTCGGTTGGATATTGCTGATACGGTATTGCCGGATTGCAGACCACCGAGTCCAAGAATGAATCTACTTAGAAGCCTTCCAGCTATTTATACCCCCCGGTCGGGCCAAAGATCAAAGATCAGATCACACGCACTTCTTGATCTTCACATGTCGGTGCATTGACCCACCTCGACGACAGAGTGTTAGTGTAGAGCCTGCCGCCTTTTAACATGTATTGTATGGTAGCATTTCCTACAAGTTGCAACAACTCCCGGAAACTAAAACTCGGAAAACTTCCAAATAAAGTAACCAACCTTCTGCGGTTCCACCAGCGCTACGTCCCACTCTACATTTACAGGTTTGATGTGGCTGAACCTCTATGTCCTTATCTGAGAGGAAGACGGACATCTGTACAGGAAAGGAAAATTACCCAACATTGATTGGAGGCAGCTGAACTACAACAATACGACAAGTCTCAATTTCATTGAACTTCTAAGCCAAGTTCGCGAGGCTGCTGAGCTTTATCATCAATTTTGTAACTGGAGTAAACTGGTACTGACTGGGAACATTGGATCTCTGCTCTATCTATTCTCGCTGCTACTGATGCAATTACTTGAATGCTCTTCACAAATGTTATTTCTCGTAAAGTTCATTGTGAAATCAAAGGCAGTACTACTTCCGAAAACGACGACTACGACTTCCTTGGCAGTACAATATCCGATTTGAGGATGCACATGTACGGACTCACCTGCATCTGAGAATTGATCAAGGGCGAGCTTATAGTCGTAGACAGGCTAATTTCGCTGGCCTCCCTTATAGCCAGCAAAATTAGCCTATTTTCTTCATCGTTGCTCAAAGAATAAGGACAACGGTAGACCTGGCTTGAGAATATAAAAAACGATTTCTATAGCAACGCTCAAAGAGGTCTGAGGATTGGGGAAGAACTTATTCTATGAGCTCATCTTGACATTTTTGCACCCCCTCCTTCCTCAGCCCGGACTCCAGAAACAGTGGCGACTCGTAGACAAGGTGGTTGGGATAAGCTGAATACCGTCGGAGATGATCGCTTTTGGAAGGACAGATGCAAACATATGACAGGAGAAAGAGGGGTTTTTGATAGAGTTCAAATCTCAGGCAGCTATGGCTTTCATAAAGATATTACTTGATTGTGAATTAGCGAGCCTTATTATACGTATTATAGGTACTGATAAAATGAAGAATATATACAGATCACTGATTGTGAGCAGTCTTTCTGTAATTCTTGGATGGTTCACTGCAACAGTCATTGGAACTCTTGCACAAGCTCTTCATATCCATGTTCCTAGAGACGAAGTGAATCTGTTTGGAGGCATTTTCCTGAACACAGCCTGTTCCATCAACATTTTCGTCTACTACGCCACAAGGTACGTTATATGGGCTACTTGAGTGGGGAGCTTCAGAAGCGTCATAGCTATTATTAGAGGAATATTAGTGGCAGTTGTAATAGTAATTACCTAGCGACGCACAAATTCGGTTCTTTGTGCAGCAGTCTTTTCTCGTAGGCATCCTGATTGTAGTACATAATGATTTCTCTTATTTTCAGCAGAGACTATCGCACTGCCTTACAAAAATATCTGTTTTGTGGCAAGAGGAGGAATGATGGCGTCACTCCGGTTAGACCGTGTACTAAACTGGTGCAGAAAAGCGCCACACAATCCACTCTAATGAAAAAGCGTGTTACAATTGCGTAACCATTTTGGTTGTTTATTAATGTGAATGGATGCAAACAGCACAATATTCTGATGTCTTTAAGGGTCGAGTACTCCGTTCATGTTGATTTGATTTGCAGTGGTTAGGTGTTATGTATTGTCATGGGATGCTATTTTCTAGACACGTGGTTCTTTGTTATCAATCACAAGGAATAGAATTTGTTCACAGTTAGGTGAAGTTTAACGTAGATGCCTGGCTGCTTTCATAGTCTGTCGGCCGGCCCGCGGGCGCGCGTGTCGGCCGGTGGACTACTCGACCTGTGGTATCGGTCAAGATTCAGTTGTAAACAAGGGGCAAGCGCAGCCCGTGACCGGCGCACTATGAAAGCAGCTTCTTATCCGCCCTAGATGTTGTTTATGTAATAGTGGCATACACACTTTCGGATTGGATAAATTTTTTCTACACCTACAACCACTGTAAATTTTTTTACCAGTGGAGCGAATCACATGAAATTTTGATATGTTTAGATGAAGCATGTTTCACACTATCCAACACTATTTGACTGCAAAGCAGCAATGCCCACATAACGTAACACATAACGGGGAAGGCGTCTGGTGACTATGCTGTAAGCAAGTTTGTGACGTTTGCGGCTATTCGCATCTTACTTGAGTTTTTCTCCTCTGCTGTGTTCGGCATTAGCGCTCGTACACTTTGGGCATAGCAAAAAGGAAATGAATCCTAGAAGCACTGATGTCCCTATTTCCAGTTGGTTTTGAATTCAAGCTCTTTGAGATGTCTGGAACATGGTCAGATATTCGGTTAGTAGTGGGAAATATTCACACTACACCCATGCTACAAATATTAAAAGCTCGCATGATTATATCCCAGTAGGAAAGGAGTTACGACTGAAAAGTACGACTCAAGAGGTATTTGGCCGAATACTGTATGCATAATCCCGGCTAGCATAGACAGCATAGACATTTCAGTTTCTGATAGAGGGATAAAGATTTCTCACATTCTTTCTCAAAAAAAAAAGCATTAAAACATTTTGCTCTTTGGGAAGGTAAAGCGATTCTCAAATACCACAAAGTCGCATTAGTTAAGCTGCTGAAAGTTTATAAAGAGGAGAATAGGAGCATCACCGTATTATTCAGCTCTCAGTTATGCCTCGCTCATCACTAGGCTCAGAATTAGCGCAAAAATTATGTTGTACCACGAATCAGTAGAAGCAACAAGGAATTTACCGAGAGAGGCAATCTGGTCTTGTTCAAACTTCTATTTATTTCCAGGTTTTTTCCTTTTTTTGCTTTTAGAGCTATTTTGATGCTAATCAGTGCCCTCACATTGTCAACGAATAGAGTTAGTTGTTGCATACTGTATGATGCTGATGTCAGCCAGCAAAAACGAAAAGCGCTCGACCAGAAACTGATATTATAACTATGTTAGGTTGAAATGGTACTTTTGTCAAATACTAGGGATTCTGAGTTTGTCAAGTTATCCTGCTTGATGTACAGTCGACACACAGCTCGAAGATTCACAGGAAATCTTTTTTTTTTCGCATAAAGGAGGATGAAGCAACTATAAAAGCTAGGTGATATGAGAAGAACCAGTATAAAGTCTACTTTATAGATGATAATGTTCTGAGGAGACCCTGGCCAAACTAGAACAATGTCATTATGTTCACTGAATAGATAGAATCGTAAAGCTGGATGTCGGTAGAATGAACGGCAAAGTGCACGGTGCTTGGAAGGCATGAGTATGGGTTCGAATCTTTTCCGAAGCAGAAGCTTTGTCCGTAACTCGCCAATTTGGAAGAACATAGCCCTGTATTACTTTACTTTTCACGACTTCCAATTCTAATTCCAAACCTCCCAATGCTCTCAGATCTAAGTTATTCAGTTTTAGCACGAAGCTTGTTCGATAAATAGCGAAAATTTCATTACAACAATGGTGTTAAAAGGCACACCTTCTACCGCCAATTGCCGATGTACTTGTGGTCGTAAAGCAATCTCATTACCATAACCACGGTCTTTCACCACGCACTATGCTATGTCCAGGTGTATTGAATGCGTCAAATTACATTTTATCGATATAAAAAATATATTGAATAATTGCCTATTCTAAGTGCTTTCTTGATCTCATTTTCGATTTTGTTCCAGTGTTATGCTGCGTTGTTCTGTCTACGAGCTTACTGTATCGAATGCAAACGTTTTTGAGTTTTACGATCAATATCTTTGACAAATTGTGAAATTATTAAAAATTTAGTAGAGTGCCCCTCCAATGTCAAACTTTTAGCGTATGTTTATCGGACTGGGAGCTTATATGGTTGGCAATATTTTGTCCAACATGCTGGTGTAGTTATCCTATCAGATGACTTTTATTTATCACAAGTGCATCCGACATCAGTAGCCAACCAATATGTAGCGATCACTAGCGATGGGGTAAATAAAGCTGATACCTTAGCGTTTTTGTTGCCCTTCGACCTTTTGGCCTCACAGTTTAGGCACAATTCAGTGGCTCTTATGAAGAAACTAAGAGATTAAGTTCGCCCCACAAAAATGGGACTGATACTGATCGACTTCACGAGTATTATCCTATTTATTTCCATNAGGTCAGGAATTAATAAATACCTTGCAAGCCCTAATTGAAACGTGCAAGGTGAAATTATGGAGGTCGCGCTTTTGTAATCTGTTGAGCTCATCAAAGCGCGATTATAAAGGTTCAAGGCTGGATAATCTCGTGGCGAAAAACCTAGTTGGACCCAAAGCTCATATTTATCCAAGTTTCACTCTTACGTAATGCACCGTAGTATGTAGCGTCTACTTCACTTTCGGAAACCTTGTCCACATTATTCATTCTCTTCAGATCCACTATGTCCACTCCTTACATATCGCCTGCATTTCAAGTTTTCTATATTGTTATTCCAACTATTGGCATAATTGGAAACTCATTGATAATATACGTTACGATAATATCGAAGTAAGTTCATCAGAGGAAAAGTACAACTACAGTATGTAGCTGCTTTTTGAAACAGTTGGCATTCCACAACCTTTGATGAAAATTACTTTTTTCAAATATTTCCTTTTTCAGGAGCCTTCGTAGCAGCTGCAACATAATCATTGGGTTAATTACTTTTGGTGATATCTTGCAACTATTAGGACAGTATGTGATGATCGTATCGTATAATGTGTAAGTACTACAGCGAGAATGGGAACATACCGTGAACCTCTTCCTTGAATTTTTGTTCCTTAACTGGACATTCTTGCTTCAGATAACCTCAGAAACTATAATATCAAAAACCGAACACGAGTTTGAAGCTAAACATTGGCACATCAATGATATAGGGCTAACGAAACTAATATCTGGATAACATTTAATATCTATTAAATCGCTCTTGTAAAGCAGGGGTGTGTGTCAAGTCGTGCGTCCGAGGGTGCGCGCGGCGAAGTTTGTGGCGAATTTGGACGACTCCGGCGCCTATCCTTGGGGCCCAAACCTGAAGTAGGGTAGATTAGTGAGGTCAGCTGATCCTACTATTCTACTGTACTTCAAAATTGGGCCCAAATAATATGCGCTAAAGTCGCTAGAATAGGTATGAATCTCGCCGCGCACTTTGCCGCGCTCGCCCTCGGACGCACGACTTGACCGTCCCCCGTAAAGCAGTAGTGGAGAAAAAAGAAGAGTCGATTCACGTTGTGAACAGTTACCGTTTAGGATTCCTGGCCATATGATGAGAGAAGACATTTGCGTCTATTGGCAGCTCGTGCCAGTTTTTGGTACCTTGTGCTCTTCTGTTTTGCTACTCTGTATAGCGATTGACAGGCTGATGTCCGTCCAAAGATTTTAGTGAGTGATTTTAAGCAACTTGTTTCAGCAATAAATAGGAAGCGAAGGCCGTGGAGGCCAATTCGACTAAAATGTTTCGACAGATTCAGGAAGTGGTGACTGAATGCATCCAATCACAAAACGTGAAAGTTTTTCCGTGAGCATTTTCTCCAAGAAAAAAATTACGGAAGTTTCCCATAGCAACAAATTTTGACTAGATAACTCCGAGCGATGACTTTCTCAAAGACAACGGTGGTCCAGGTGTTTAAGGGCTTTGCTTGTACGAATATCGAAAGAGATACCTTCAATGTTCCACTCATTCTGGCATACTTGTAGATGCGGTTCCTTAATTTCCACTGTTTTGCTGTGTACAAGGGGTTAAGACGCACTGTTGTAATCCCTTTCACTTTGTTCTGCTAATCACTGCCGAAGGGTGATACGGGGGCCGTTGAACTTCTGAATCTTTCCAAAAAATTAGTGGAGCACCACAACCCTCAATCCGATAACCAATGGGGCTATAAGTTTACAAAATTTGACCAACCATCATAAACGTAAAATCTGTGTCTTGGAAATCTTATTCAGAAGGTGAATTCAGTAATGAATAATCGTGAAACGTTATTCCTTGAATTTCAGCGCGCTTATCATACGAGATCACGAGAACGCTTACATACTTATACAGGTCGCAGTGGCCCTCGCATTCACGCTACCTATTTTGGGCTGGATATTTGTTGAAAGATCAGATAAAACGTGGGTTTTTATTTTGTTTCTTGAAGAAGAAGTCTTATTCAATATAAGACACAAATGAAATGACATAAGCGATTTGCCAGATTCAAAACTAGTCTTTCAAACCACTAATTCGCAGTCGTCGTAATAATACAATACATATATTCCGTATAAGATAGATATGGCAATGACATTTTTGACACAGAGCAGCTTTATTCTGGAATACTTATACAGAGCGAAGTTCAGCTCGAAGTCGCAGTCGAATTTGAATGTGGCTGTGATTGGCATGGTCAGAAAATGTCCCGATGTCAAAAGTCCTGAAGGGTCCGGCCACTTTTCTACTCAGTGCTTTTCTACCACCGGACGAAATAGTGGGGAGACGGGCGTTAGGAACGATTTTGGGTAATCGGTTTGCCGCACGCAGCTGTCGCGGACCACTCATACGCCGTTATTACAGCCCTAGCTTCTTCATTCAGCTCAATCGATATGCGATCATTATTTTATGCATAATTCTACTATTAGTACTTTTGTTCTTGTATTTCTTACCTACTGCTGCATCCTGCTACATTCCTCCGCGTGCGACGCCCCTCTCACCGCGACGCGACCATTTCGTTCCTAACGCACCACACCCCGAAATAGTGACTTGACTAACTGACATCATGATGGAGGGATTGACTGGCTTAAGCAGATATCGAACCATCCTCTAGTCGTAACGATGTACCACTTAGCGTTCCACCATCTCTGAGATGTACTACAACATATACAATGTACATAGTAGAAAAGGTTGACTGGCGGTATCAGTACACTGTCATCTTGAACTCAGCAAAATGTGATTTAGGCTCTAAGAGCATTTGAACCTCCTCTGTTTCTTACTTTTTCGGTATGCGGACATTTTTCTTGGTACGCTCTCAAAACAGTTTCATAACTGTTTTCCCGAATTGAAGTTTTTTTGTACTTTGACGAGTTTCTTTTGGAAGATCGTAATGAATACTTCGTTAAAGGAACGTACTCTGCATCATAACTGCTCCGATGATCGGCGATATATATACGGTGGTGATAAGGTCTATCATGGTGATGAACGTACTGATAATTGCTTGCTATGTTCTGTTTTTCTGTTTCATAAGAAGAGCTCATATAAGTAAGTGTGCTCCAGTTGTAAAAGACAATCAATTTACGGTAACTATAATGACATTGCAAAATCGCATCATTATATAATCATTGGTTCCTGAACAGAACTTGTACTAAACCTGAACCTGCACCAAACTTGAACCTGTTTTTTTGCTTTGCGGGGGCTGTGCTTTTCGCTCTTTGCAGTGAGAAAAGTGGTCCAGGAATTGTAGGACGAGTTGTTTCTCCTACTCTTTAGATTGTCCGCTTAATTTTGACTATGGGAAATTTCAATCCTCTTAAGTACTCGACGTTGACACTGACTTCTTCGTTTGGACTAAAGGTGTACTCGTAATTGAGGGACCACCGCCATCAGCGTGTACAAATCAAAATCAATTAAGAACAAAGTAATGAAATTTGATTTAAAAATATTGGATGTAAGGTTAATACCCAAATTTGGCCATGCACGTTCACGATGGTAATCGTTGTGAAATATGCACAGAGTTTCCAGGTAACGACAGCATGAAGCATCTGTACCGATCTCTGATTGTGATCAGTNACCATCGGCATCAGCGTGTTCAAATCAAAACCGATTCAGAACAAAGTAATGAAATTTGATTTAAAAATATTGGATGTAAGGTTAATACCCAGATTAGGCCTTGCACGTTCACGATGGTAACCGTTGTGAAATATACACAAATTTTCCAGGTAACGACAGCATGAAGCATCTGTACCGATCTCTGATTGTGATCAGTTTCACAGCTGTGTTTGGCTGGTTCAGTACAACTATAATTGGTACTGTTGTACAAGTACTCAAATTGGATATTCCTTATGCTGACTCAATGCTATTGGCTGGCCTTTTCGTCAATACAGCTTGCGCAATCAACTTTTTTGTTTACTATGGCGTCAGGTAAGTCTATTTAGCCCATACTGGCTATGGCTTCGCAACCACTCCACAATTAAATGAAGATTCGGATTCCATCCGCTTTGACGGTGGAGCCTGGCTTTTGAAGCGACGATTTAGACCGTTAACTAGATAAGGAATTTCACCAAATTTCAAACCTAGAACGGAAAAAGAATTTTAATAACGAAAAATTAATGAGTCCGTTGAAAAAGCAAGGAGTGAATGCGCAATTATCAACTATCATTTCTCCCTCTTTGCTGGCTCAGACTACCTTTAGGCAGGCGATCTCAGTTTGCCTAGGTGGCTAGCTGAGGTACAAGTTGGTGCTTTATCTTTGACTGTGTCTGTCTGATTCTGAGTACCGTTTAATCGCATCTTCGGATTGGAGTGGTTTCTCTGAGCCGGTCTTGACTTAGGACTCTATCTTAGGGCCTCAAGAGTGATAGGAAGCTACCTGGTTAAGGCAGGCCAGCTTCAAGCGTTCATATATCGAGGTCCTGACTTCATTCTTTGATCTCTCAATCATGAAAGCATCTTGACTTCTATGCACAGGACCGTCAGAATCCTTACTTGGCATCCNCATCCTTCTCTGAGAACCCAAAGAGGATTACGGACTTTTGCAGCAGTCCATCCAGCAAATTCTAAATTTACTGTAATTATTGGGCATAGTTGTTTTTTTGAATGATTTAAAGTGCATCGACGACTAATACTTGTTACCCAATAGTGGTTCAAGGCTAAATAGCAATTTGGAAAAAGGCAAAACACGTAGCCACCACATTTTCTAGAAAATCTGTAGGCTTTTTGAACCGTAATTTGATATATCCAGCTGCCGGCCTTACGCAATGTACCCATTAAATCGAATTCATATTAAATTAAAGGTTGTCTTGGAAGTCATAGTTCGGCCAAATTATTCATAGCCGTGCTTCGGGATAGGACTAACAGCTATCTACATGCTTAATGGCTTCATTCTGATGTATGTGTCAGATGCTCACATACACTTGCACAAAGAGAGCTTTCAAAACAAGACCATAATAATTCTTATTAAAATACCCAAATTCCCTGACATCATGAACACCTAAAACCATAGAAACGAGATCGTCTTGTTGTTGTGAAACTCCTTTTTTTTCAGCCACGAATATCGCCAAGTATTCCATGAACATCTGTTTTGTAAGTGTTTCGGGCCAAATCATGCTCTACGTGTTTCACCTACTCCTGCAGCATCTCATGAGCACCATAATGGAGCACCTTCAACAAAGACAACAGCTGCTGATACAAAATCTTAGCCACTTTCTTCTCCATCCTTTTTTTCAATAATTTCTGTAAATTCTCGAACAGGCTTCAAAAAAGTGATTGTAGTGATTGTCTTGTTTCTATTCGAGTATAAATAAAGTGTGTTACCGATCTGAATGTTTGATTTCTTCTTACTTGCGGAACACCGAGTATCACCAAGATCATTTGTCACAAGCAGTAGGCAAAAAGTTTTCAATCGAAAAGATTGTTATGTATCTGATACATGAAGTTCGTGACCTATTTCCTAAAGCATCAGTAGATTGGAATTTTTTTCTCCATGATTTGCAAAGGGAAAAAGGTTTTTATCACATTGTTTCATAACAAATCACTTCAATAACACAAACATTCACGGCAATCAAGAAAACTTGTGTGTGCCCTTGATGGTCACAATCATTATTGCTGGTCCCACCACAAAAAAGTAATTCGCAATTGTGATTTCGATTAGAAAGGCAAACGATGATTACGGTTATTCTTGTGCCATTCTTCATTCAAAAGCTCTCTCTACAAAGTGCTATATCTAGCACATCCAAAAAACTAGTAGGGTTCCCACGCCAGGGGAAGTTGAAGAGCCGTCGCTTGGCGCTGTACTGCCTTTATTGCTTTCCAGTTTTTGTAGTTAGTAGTAGTTAAGATCGCCTTGGGAAATGTGCAATTTCGAGATTGTCATCTCATTTGCAATCTCGAAATTGAAGGCTGTCCTCAAGTCAAAGCTTTCCTACACGCGTACAATTTGCATCAATAGAAAAATCTGTGCTCATCTATGACCTCCATGTTCAAGTTCTGAAATGATCACTCCCACTTCGTCGCCTTTGGGTAAATTTCTGATATAAGAAGTCTTGCCTATCATTCTGCGCTACATATCACTACCTTGTTGGTGGGTGAGGAACCTCACAGTTACAGTTATTCTGAAGGATGCAAACATTCAATATACATATTGTGACCCTTGCGTGAAAGCGAAATATAGTAAAAGCGAATATCTCGGTCAGTTATTCGAATTACATTTTTCTATCGTTAGCCTTTACTAACCGTTTGCCAATCTATCAAATATTATACTTTGGATTAGATGTCAAGGGATTCTGGGGAACCTGTACCACATTGGAGGTGGCCTACGCAGTAATCAATCTAAATTATTGGTAGGGTTGGAAAAGAATAAGAATAGTACTCATTGGTATCTGAGAATTATTGGTATCTCTCTTATACTGATATTGGAGACCGTATTTCGATGCTACTGACCACGAGCCATAGCTCGCAGAGAGGTAATTATGGCAAAAGGTCACATTTTATTGATGGACACTCTTCCCTGTTGTTCGTTTTGGGATTCCTTTGCAGAATCCAGAACGCCTCTGATGTCTTTCTTGCTGAAATTTCCGTCTCCTGCCCTAATACCGTGCACTTCACTCCATAATTCTCGCCGTTGTGCTCCTCAACTTTATGTCGACCGAGCGCTGTCAAAGGGTTCGCGCGCTTCATACTAGCTAGATGTCCTTTTACCCGTGTAGCTAGTTGTCGTCCTGTTTCACCGATATAGAGTGAACCACATGCCCGACATTCTAGCCGGTAGATCACGCCCATAAGTGCGCAATCACCTGCTTTCCCGTATAGACATATGGTACAGTCGTTTGTCAAGCACTGCTTATCGTAGAGCCGCTTTCGAACCAACTGTTGCTTGATGTTGCTGTTGGGTATATTCACCAATTGGACAACATCTTGCAGGTCAGCTCTGGAAATGCTCCGTCGTATTGAGTGCTGACTTTATAGGAAATGAAAAGAAGACAAAGTGGTAGTTTCGTAACGCG